TGCAGGTCCCACTGTAGCTAACAGCAAAGGTGTAGGATAGTCAATCCAGTATAGGTCTATACGCAAATTCATGCTCTCCCTCTAGGAGATTCTATCTACAAATCGGGACATGGCAGTGATGAGATGCCCCGAAATAGTGGTTCACATTTATGTTATAGTATACTTATATATGTATTGTATGTATTAGTGTAGTGAATGCATTGTTTCTCATTACAGTATTTTCTATCTGTTTCTCTTCATAGTATAGTTGTACAGTTTCTCATAATAGTATCGTTGTATAGTTTCTCATAAAAGTATCGTAGTATACTTTCTCATAATAGTAAGTTCTCTTAGTTTCTCATCATAGTATAGTTGTATAGTTTCTCATAATAGTAAGTATTGACTAATGAATGAACTGACTCTTTGTATGCTTGAATGAACTAGAAGTAATGAGTAGTATATCCCTTAACTATACCTATTATAGTTTACTAGCAGATTTGTTTGTATGACTGAATGTATTGAAATCAAATATTACTCTTTGTATCTATGCATATATACATAATATATAAGTAAGGATCCAACGACACTCGGACAAACAATAGGGTACTCTAAGTCCACAACCAAACAAGCAACATGAAATAAAGTGAGTTGTTAGTCCTAAACCCTTCAAACCTTACTTATATAACTATATATGTATTAGACATGATTTTAATAATATATGAGTTTGAAAACGGTAAAAAAAAGGTTTAATATATAAGAGTGAGTTTACTAAAGATTTTAATATGTAGAAGAGTTTGATAAGCAGTTTGAAGTCATTTGTTTGGTAAAACAGTTTATAAGTTTAGTAAATCCATTGTTTGATAGTTATTAATCACATGTGAATGATATAATAACTATGATAGTCAACTTGTATTCCCCTGAACCCCTATAAAAGCATTTAAAATCATTTAAAAGGTTGATTAAGGGGTATGAACTCACCTGTAGTGAGTGGTTTGGATGAAAGTGTTGGATAAGGTGCTATGTGTCAAGTGAAGACTTGAACACACACACACTGATCTTATTTAACATATAAAGACACATATATGTGTCTAATTAGTGATTATAACACTAATTAAGAAAGTAAAGACACCCTAGAACATGGAAAACACTTTGTTTCAAGTGTTATAAGATAGGTTGTATCTAAGGGTTGTATGGATTTGCTTTAGAATTTATAGCCCAAGAGCCAACTCGCCATGAGTTTATGGCGTAGGGTTTTCGGCCCTTATGGGTTTACGGCCGTAAAACCATGGTGACTTCTACCATTTTGATGTTTAAGGGCCTTAGCTCAAGTGGGAGGTGTTCTAGACCAAGTTTTGTGCCTTAGGAAGGAGTTTAGGGCAACATTGCACCTTTTATTAGCGTTTACGGCCAAGGGAGATTTCCTCTACCGTAAACTCCCTTGGTTGTTTGATTCTTGGTGTTTTCAAGACCCTAATTCGATATCATAACTAATAACCATGTAAAGGATGTAAGGACTTACAATTTGAAGGCTAAAGATGGGAGTTTTCGGCCCAAAACACTTTTGTGTTCTTGGTGTTCTTGAGGATCTTGAAGATCTAGAAAAAAAGATAGAACTTGTGGATGATGATGTATAACACAAAGATGGAAGGATCTTACTTACTTTTGTGAAGATTTGAAAGAAAACTTGAAGATCCTTGGGAGATAAATCCGATTTCTCTAGCTTAGAATGTGAATAATGAATGAAAAATGACTAAGTGTCATCTTTATACAAGGGGTTAACGACCATATGGAGTTTACGGCTATAAACCCAAGTGTCTTGGCCGTGAACTCCTCTTTTGTGGGTTTAACGCCTAGCTTGGTGGATTAGAAGCTCAATTGGCATCCCCTTTCACTCATTCTTTTGGTGCATTAAGCTCATAATGTCCATACGTAGTCTAAACAGTGCTCAAAGTTAGAAGAAGTAAGTCTAACTTTGATTGACTGAAGGATTTGTACAAATAGAAATTTCGGGTTGTGACAATGGCTTCTAGCCAAACCACCTCGTAAGTAAGATACGTCTACTTAATTTCTAATATAGCTTTTATTTAAATATAGTAACATTATTAGGGCCTTATAATATTTATTTGAGCTATTATTATGGGTTATATAAGTGTTGTTATAATATTTATTTGAGCTATTATAAGTGTTGTTATTTGAGCTATTATTATGGATTTCAGAAGTGCTATATGCCAAAATTATCCTACCCTATGGTGTTTGATATCTAGCCCCTGTCTGTACATAGTGGGTGAAGAGTATTGTTTAATGCTTATATAATAGTGATAATAACTACACTATTAATTAGTCTCGTTGAACGTTATACTAAACTCTAGTGGAAATAAAACTAGGTTTTGTCAATGGAAAATTGTTTTAAAGTAAACGAAGTGATGTCCGAGTACCGAGTCACCACCTTTGCAGGTGAGTGCATAGTTACTTTCATATTACACATAAATATGAAGTATTTTATATTATTTATGTGATATGTGTGTATACTATCTAAATACTTGTTGTCTATGTTGGATAAAACGTTTTATACATATTTTAAATTATCTAAACTGTATATGTATTTTATATCTACAAAATGTGTTGGGTAAAACATGGATAGATTAGAGGTGAGATAAATGATGAGCATTGAAAGATGAGATAAATGTTGAGCGATGAAAGATGAGATGAATGATGAGCAATGATATATGAGTGCTAAAATATGGTGCGAAGAGTGACCTAAGCGATGAGCCAAAGCGATGAGCCAAAACGATGAGCCAAAAACGATGAGCCAAACGATGACCCAAGCGATAGACCTGTCATCTAGCAGAGCATGGATGACAACCACAGACTATGCAGACTTAGTGTCAATTCCATAAGATACTCCTTAGGAATGAATGAACGAGGAATAGTTGAATCTTACGTTAGATTCTTAAGAGTAAAGAAAATAATAGGGATGGGTAATTGGGTTGATTGTTTGATGTTTAACATAATAATTATATTATTGTGGGTTGAAAACCCTATGTACTCAACAGGTTTCCCAACCTTACCCACTCAAGCTTATTTGTATCGCAGGTGTCGATATGAAGCTACTTTACACTGAGGGATTTAAAAGAGATGTAGATCACTATTGTAATGAATGTAAGTTCTGTTTATGCTTATGTTTCTGTATTGATGATGTTATCCGAATGTTTTAAAAATGAATAAAAATACATTTCTTTAGAAATGCTTGGTAACGTATTTATCATGTTTTTATGGGAAAAAATTATGCAATATTTTTGTTAAAACAGGTACTTGATGATGTGATAATCGAGTATGAAACAAAGCAGAGTACCAAATATGTAATATGAACACGAGAAGTAAATATAATCTAGTTTCAGTTCAATTATGCTTTCAACAGTTAAATAGATAAGTTCTGTAAAAGACTCTTATCTAACTCTAAGTAATGTCCCTATTTATAGGAGACGTGAAAGCATACAAAAAACTACTAAGTCATAGACACTAGGCTTCGTACAATAGACACCTTAGTAAATACGTACGAAATTACAATACAAACATTTCGACTCTTTACAATATTTCGACCTTAACAATCTCTCCCTTTGTAAACGATTCGAACTTCTTAATTCGTGAGTATTTGTATAGCAAACAACATCACCCTTCGTATTTCCGTGTACCAAGAAATAATTCTCTTTAACTTCTTCTTGTCCCCTTCATTATTCTTCTTGTAGTTATTCATATGAACAATAAAGTTCGTATACTGGGATGTAGAGTACCTTTCTACTTTGCATGCTTGGAACATAAATCTTTTAGCTTTTCCACTCTTCTCTTTTCTTGCGAAGACCATTCCAAATGGCTTTAAGCAGATCTCCCCATCTGCATACTTCTTTAGTTCTAATTGAGACTTCATTGGTTCCACGGGACATTTCACTTCTATTCCCTTTGTAGTAGCTGACTCAACATCAGTAAGTGCCAAACATTCATAGTAGTTGTCTATGAATATCTTGATATGTGCAACTCTAAGTCAAAAAACTTCTGGATCAATTTTCTCGAAGATACGAAGCATTTTTATCTTTTAAGAGCAATGCAACTTGTATAAAATCATACAAGTTCATCAAAGGAAAGTCAGCCACAGTAAAATCACATACTTGACCATTTGCTCTTGTCACATAATACCGAAGATTCTGCATCATGTTCTCAAACAGAACATCCTTCTTAAGGCTTATTACCTTCTTTATTTTCACTAAAGACCAAATTTCCTCTGGAGCTTTCCCAAGAACAACATGAAATCAAAGTTTCATGTAGTTATTACTCATCTTCATTCTTGAACTTCTCAACAATCTTGAACTAAGGCATTAAGAACATCATTTCGTTAATTGGGAAATCAAGCTGGCTCATATCTGCATTTGTAACCACGTATCCTTGTTTTTGCTTCTTCTCAAAAGCATACATGTGGTTATAAGCCACTTTTGCTTCAATGGTCTCATAGGTATAATGTTTTCCTGGATCTCCCTTGTCCAATCAAGGAGGATCACTTGCATGTTGGCTCACTATACTTTGAATAATTCTTAGTTTCTCCATTTCTACTTCAGCTTCAACTTTCTTTGTTCTTTTGATTTTTCAATTACAACTGTTTTCCCTTTGTCTTTATCCGAAGAAATATCAACAACTTCATTTAGCTTCGAACTACTACCACCAGCAGATGAACCAATCATAATCCGTTTTGAAATTGGCCTTTTAATGGGCATTGAAGTTACAACAGTTGAAGTAACTAGCCCAATAGAAGAAATGATTGGTTTTGTTGATGGAATTTTCAACGAGAAACTTTTTCCAACAACCTTAGCATCTTCTCGCAAAGCTTCACCACCAGCCTTCACATCACCAACCTTCTTTTCTCCCCTTTGCATCCCTATGACAACACGTGGGGCATCTATTGGTTACAAACTTGGGATGTGAGATAAAGGAGCTAACTGTTTGTGAAAGGTTGTTTCGAATTGAGTAAACTTTTAGGATAAAAATTCAGGAGTGATTAACGAAGAAGAACTGGACTTCATGAGCAACCCCTTCAACTCAGTTAACTGAGAAGTAATCTTAGTTAAATTGTTCATTTGTTGAGTTGACAACTGAGAAAGCTGAGGACTCATGGCTTTGTATAATTTCACAAAAATTTTCAAAACATCAACAATTGTGTGATTTAACGAAGCATAATCCTTTTGAACCACTTCAATATCCTTAGCCATATCATCACGAAGCTCCTGAAGCTTGAGATTAAAATCTTATCTGACCTTGTTCACATCAAAACGAACAATGCATGTCGTTCTTTTGCAACCTGTTTCAAGTCTTTGAATGCCCCCATAAGCTTTGAAAGTAGAGAGTTCATCCGTAACTCAGAATTTTGATCAGTATGGTCCATCTTCTCTAAGATTCTAGACTCTGAATCTTTAATCATGCTAGATATTTTACAAACCATCCTGTCTTCAAACGCTTTAAACAAACTATGAATCTCCAAACTTGAAACATAACTACTTCCCCCATATCCACTTGAGACTGAATAATAGAATTCAACTTTTTATTCATAATTTTAAATTGCTTCATTGACATGAGCATGTGGCCAGGAAAGTTTTCTTCTTCCTCGTGAAACTCTAAATCTTGGAAAGTACCACCAAATAATGTATCTTCATTTTCAGATTCTTCAATAGGTGTGGGTGGCTTATCTGATTATGGTGGATCAGTAGATTGAGAAGAAAACAAGGTAGTGAACGGTTGATTAAGGATTTGAGTAAAATTTGGTGAGGAAGTGATAGATAGATTGGGTATGATATATGGAGGTAGAGAAACAAGAGGACTAGTAACAATTTCGATAGGAAGAATAACAGGGGTACCTTTACTAGATTTTGGTGCTTCGTTATTCAAATCTTCTTCACCCATATTCACATTTACATTCGTATCAGATACATGTGTAGTGGTTTCTGAAGTTCGTGCCTCCTCATGAAATGCCTTGGCAGGCGAAACTTCGGGTGGTATGATTGTAGTCTTCTCAGGAGATAAATTTTTTGTGACAAGAGTTTCTTCGGGAGTTTCAAGCACTTCTTCTTCTTCAGATGATTCGTTTTGAATAACCAACTTTCGTGTCTTCGTCTTCTTCTTCTTTGATATACGCTTAGCCAAATCTTCAGTTCTTCGTTTCTTAGATGAAGGAGAAATAGGAATTGAAACTTCACGAATAAGACTCCTTGATGATTAATGTAGTGTTTTATAACCACAGATGAAGTTGGAGATTTTCGTGAACCACCAGACAGCTTCTTAAGTCTTCGAAATACACCAGATTTTGATGGAATAGTGAGCATAGCTGGTTCTTCATTAACAGGCTATGTTGACTCGATCATAACAGTCGAAGCGGGTGCTTTTTATTTTGTCTTTTTCATTGGGGACTTTGTTTTCTTCGACTCCTGAACAGGTTTCTTAGGAGTAATCTATGCATCCCTCTTAGAACATCGTGATTTCTTCGAAGGACTTGTAACTGCACTTGCCAATAATTTCCCAGTTTCAATACTAGGATCAATAGCCTTTGAATAGGCTACTAATATAGAATTGGTTGGATTAACATTGCTTTAACATTGCATCAGGAATTCGTGCAATGGTTGGAAATGCCTCATCATCATCCTTAATTTCTTTTGAAAAATTATATTTTAAGAATTCAGCACGTTGTTCATCAGCAGGCATCTCAATCCCTTCTTTATCATAAAAATAGTGAAGGATTAGACTCCAATACCCTGCACATGAAATCCCTTGAACAACATTCGTGTTTTCAACACTCTTTTGAAACTCCTTCCATAGTTGTGTAGAGTAATCCACCAGAATATCATAGTACAGTCTGACAACCATGGCATACACCTCCATTCTCCCCTTATTGAGTCCAACACTATGACCTGTCAAACATCATAGAAAAATTCCATAGAGAAAATTCCAAGTAGCTAGAAGACCTGATTTCTTGAAGTCACTAATCTTGGTGAGTTGGGGTTGATGACCCATCTCATTAAACATATGGATAACTTGTGCAAAAGATAGATCTGTGTATGGTGGAACGTTTAGAATTTCAAGAATCTAAAAAAAAAGTTTCTTGGACAATCGAACCTTCTTGTCATTCACTAGATTGAATGTGATTACATCAAGGGATTTTGAGTATGTTGCAGTAGATCCTACTTGTGAAAGCCAACAAAAAGGAATATCAACCAAAATGAACATGGCCCTAGATAACACAGAACTCTTCAAGGAAACTACTAGCATATGTAATTCTTCTGGATAAAGTGATTCATCCTCGTCAACCTGATAATTTGTGCTTTGAATCTTCATGATCGGATGAGAAGTAACCTCTTCAGTAGTTTGTGATGGAACACTAACATCAGCAGCAGTAGCCATGAATGGGGTTTTGAAAGCTTTGAAGAATACACAGAGAAATCTTTCACAATTTGGGAATTTCTTTGGAAAGCGTAAACTGATAAAGAACCCCTGGATCCCATTTTATATGCTCTAGAATTTGAATTTGAAGCTGGATGTGCATTAAATGAAATCCAATGTGGTGCCTTGAAAATCACACCACTATTCCGATAAAGTTGACATGCGTGAAAAAGTAACTGTCACTTCTCATTGAAAACAGGAAAGAATACAAGAAGTCACATTCAACAACCTGTATTGAGTCACCCAATGGAATTGCAACTGCCACCAACCTGTGGATGGAAATAACGCTCTTTCACTTTTGGGATAAAAAGCGAAGTCATGGGCCAGACGTTTGAAATCATCATCTTGAGTTGGTATTATTCAAAACCTAAAGAATTTCGTGAGTGCAGTGTGCCAAAGAAAGAAAATAAGAATCAATTAAAAAAAAAGTTTGGATTTGTGATGTCAAAAAAATAATTTTGACACAAAAGTAGGTAAACCACAGGCAAAGGTTACTTCGTTAATTATCAAGAAAGATAATCAACTGCTTGTGAGGTGTCCTGTGAATTGTCACACCCCAAAACCAAGAACGGCGGAAACGTTCAGGGGTGGAGGACGTCATGTGAAGTATCATAACAGTGCAAAGTAGTAAACAAGCGACAACATCATCCATTGCATTAAAAGTAAAGTTTTAATACATGTGTGTTCTTTCATAGTAATAAGACACCAAAATATGTAATCAAAATAAAAGATGAGTCTTGTCTGTGCTCCGTCTTCTCAACACCTGGTCATCGTACCTGTCTACTGGTGACCTGATAATACAAGTTATTTTGAAAGTGTAGATCAGCATAAAGCTGGTGAATTCATAAGTATTTAAGTGTCATTACTCTGTTTTGGAAAGCTGTTATGAATGCCATGTAAATCTTTGAATGAAACATTTGATATAAGTGTGAAAACCCTAGAAAATCCCATATTTCCTACTAGTATAAAAGTAGTCTTCTACCAAGACCTGAATGTTTTGAAAGTAACAAAGATGGTTTTTCCCCTGTACGACTACTATTAAAAAAATATAGTCTACCTCATCGTTTATGTGAACGTATCACAAAATAAAAGTAATAGGGAAAATATAAACATTTAAGTATTATCCTTTGGTAATAGGATAAACACGACATAGTAAAAGCCGAATAGTATTAACTATAGACATCCGTAGATGTACATTTACCTCTGTTGATAACAGCCGGGTTTAGGAATAGTTAGTCCCTTAAGTATAACTGTAATGGTATCAACCGTAAACATCCATAGATGTGCATTTACCTCTGTAGCTAATAGGTTATAGGAGTGGTTAGTCCCTCAAAGTATCCTTTTGTACTAGGATAGATAGATATAATCTACATGTATAATATGTAATAGTATCTCATCATATAGTATCTAGGTAAAAGTATCCATGTAAGAGGATTCATGTAAGTGTATCTCTTCATATAGCATTTAGTATAGACTCATGAACGAATTGACTTCGGTGTAATTCATTGTAATAGGAATAATGTTTTGTATCCCCTAAACTATCCCTATAATAGTTTACTAGAATGTAATAGGTGTCCAAGAAAGTTTATACACCCTTGCTACCTAAGAGTGTGGGAACTGAACGAAGAATGAATGCTCTCATATATATATATATATATATATATATATATATATATATATATATATATATATATATATATATATATATATATATATATATATATATATATATATATATATATATATGAACATAAGTTTATAGATATGGTTTTGGTCAAGAAGATGAAAGAGGTTTTGTAAAACATTTAAGAGTTTTGAACAATAAGTAATAATGACTTGATGTCATTTTATAAAACATTTCAAAATTAATTCATTTGATAACAAAGTATTTTGAGACAGAAAACCATTTCATGTATCACATTTTCAAGTATGTAAAATCAGTTGTTTAAAAACACAGTTATAAATCACATGTGATTGAATCTATAACATGTTGTTTTCTACTTGTATTCCCCTCCATTAAAGCATTTAAAATCATTTAAAACATTTATTAAGGGGTATGAACTCACCTGTAGTTGGTGGTTTGGATGAACGGATAAGGTAGCATGGTAGGTGTCAAGTGAGGACTTGGACACACTCAATGATCTAGTTAGAAGCTTGAAAAGGTGCCAAAAGGCCAAGAACACTAGTGTGTGTTCTTGGTGTTCTTAGTGAAACTTGTAGATTCAACTAGATGGTGATCTTGAAGAAATTTTTGGATGATACTTGAGAGAGTTTGAGATTCGGATCTTGAAAGTTGGAAAAGTGATAAAAATAACTAAGTGTCACTTTTATACCACTTCCCTTTAGGGTTTACGACCGTAAACTCCTTGTTTAGGTCGTAAACTCTAAACTTTTGATGTGTCGGGACTTTATTGTTGCACAATAAACCCTAGGGCATCCTTTCTCCTGATATCTCCTAAGTTGTTTAATCCTAAAATACTCAAACTTATTCCAAAAATCTTGAAAGTTTCCATAAAACTTATCTGACTTCTATTGAATGGAAATGTTGTACAGAATGGAAATTTTGGGTTGTCACATCATCCCCTCCTTAGAAAGATTTTTGTCCCGAAATTAGAATTTAAGCAAATAAGTAGTTACAATCAACTAAGCAAAAAGATGAGGATATTTCAGTTTCATCTGATCCTCTTGCTCCTAAGTGAATTCCGGTCCTCGCTTGGCGTTCCAGCGAACCTTCATTATCGGGATACGACCTTGCTTCGTTTGCTTGACCTCTCGGTCCATGATCTCTACTGGTTCTTCCACAAAGTTGAGGCTCTCGTTGATCTCGATCTCGTCGAGTGGGATAACAAGAGTCCTATCGAACATACACTTTTTCAAGTTCGAGACATGGAAGGTAGAATGTACGTTACTGAGTTCGCGCGGTAGATTGAGTTTGTAAGCTACGGGGCCGATTCG